ATTTATCATTATCTTATCTACATTGTGTTCCCAATCAATAAATTATATCAATAATAATTAATTAATAAATATTAAATTATTGAACCTCCATCCTTCCTTTTATATCTATAACTATAAAGTGTTTTATGTACTGTGTGACGTGTGTCTGTGTGCCTAAGTATATTAAGTTCTGAACTTAACATGGGAAAAAATAAGCACTCAATGCATATAAATATTTAATTATTAATGCATGATTTATGAAAATAAATTATAACTATATTATCAGTTAAAATTAATTATAATATAGTATTCATAATTTCCATATATAATTTCCTACCTAATATTATTATTTATGAGTATTATTACTATAGCTTACAAATAATATTTTGATACGAATTCTTAATTTCTTAAATTCTTAATTCTTAATTTTACAAAGAAAAGTTTTTCAAAAATATACACCATTTTAGACAAATAGGAACAACCTATTTAAATAATTACTTAATAAAATATATTTACATCTATTTATTATTAAAAATTACTATTTCTTGAGTTAATTCTATTATAAAATTAATTTATATATTACTTTTTGTGACCCGACTTTGGGTATATTTAAAGGTGAATTTAAGGATTTAAAATCAATAATAGTCTTTTGACTTTATTTGAATTTCCGATCATGTTAATATCATATTATTATCCTTTTATTTAAATATTTTATGGTAAGATTCATAAACCTATTTAATGCTTGTATTATTATATATTTTATTGTATGTTTTAATTTTATAGCAAATGATTTGAATAGTGCTGAAGTTGGTTATTCTTATGATGATGAAGTTATTGAAGATTGTCCATTACTGTCATTGCCAAATTATGTTCCAGTTAAATCTTCAATGATGCCAACTCCACCATTTGATATTTTCTTAAGACAATCTTTCAAGGAAAATCAAAAAAAATATTGCTACTTCTACATAAAATACAACAACAAACTTAGATAATGTCATTGATTCGCCTACCACCAAAAGTAGTTCTGCACTTTCTAATTATTCTATGCATTTTAGTAAAAATGAGCATGTGTCAAAAAATGTTATGAATTTTTGTGACAAAATTAATGAAAATGAACAAAAAAATATTGATATGCTATTGGCTCGATCAATTTATGCTTCATCATCACCATTAAACCTAGTAGAAAATGTATATTGGAAAGAGTTTTTAAAAAAAATCGGCCTGCTTATCGCCCACCTTCAACCTACATAGTATCGAATAGATTACTTGATGATGAATTCAAAAAATTAAAAGAATGTACTAATAACAATATTTTGAGTGCCCAAGTGCTTGGTGTAATCTGTGATGGCTGGACCAATTTGCGTAATTAGAGTATTGTAAATTTTGTAGTAACAACTCCAAATCCTATATTTTTTAAGTCAAATGCAACTGGTACTGATCGACACACAGGGGAGAAAATGGCTGAAGAAATTATAAGTGTCATTGAAGAAATTGGACTAAGGTTTTTGGAATTGTAACGAACAATGCAAAAAACATGCAAAGAGCTTGGCACTTGGTTACTGAGAAATATCCTCATATAACAGCATATGGATGTGTTGCACATGGACTCAATTTGTTAGTAAATTATATTATCATGCATTTAAAATTATTTAATGATCTCATAAATGAAGGAAAATCTGTTGTTAATAATATTAGAAGGGGTCATATAACAAATGCATTGTTTCTCCAAAAGAGAAAAAATAATAATAACTCCACTGCTCTTACATTGCCTGTTGTTACAAGATGGGCTTCAGAAGTTGTTTTTTTAAATTCACTACTAGTTAATAAACAAATAATTAGGTCTATGAGTATTGAAGAGACCATTGAAAAGGATTTAAAACCAGAAGTCAAGAAATTAATCAGCAGTTCAGATTTTTGGGATAAAATTTACTATTTTCATCAGCTTGTTGGTCCACTTGCTAAATGGATAAAGATAATAGAAAGTGATCTTCCTAAATTAAGTAGTGTACCATTTATATTCAGTGAACTTGAAACCTCTTAAAAAAAAAAAAAAAAAAAACACTACACAAATGTATTTATTTGAAGACTGAAGAGAAAAACATTATAAAATCACTAAAGATCAGAAAAGAATTTTGTATCTCAAATATACATAACGCAGCTCATTTACTTGATCCAAAATATTTAGGTAAATGCTTAAATTCAGAAGAACATAGTGATGCAGTGGAGTTTATTTATCAACTATCTAAGAAGTTAGATAATTTAGATGTTGATGCCAGACAAGTTATTACTGATATAAGTAATTTTAAAAACGAAACTGGACCATTTTCTAAAGAATATTTATTGACAGCGATCGACGATACTAATGGATTAAACTGGTGGAGTGCATTTTGTTCGAAAACAGAACTTTCAAAGATTGAAATAAAAATATTGTCATTACCTGCCACTTCAGCTGCTGTAGAAAGAACATTTAGTTCTTACAAAGATGTTCATTCCTTGAAAAGAAACCGGCTTACTATTGAAAGAGCAAACAAACTAGTTTTTATAAAACACAATCTTCAGGTAACATATAAAATATAACAATATAACATACATTTTAATACTTATTACTTATTAGTTATTTCTTTGTACAACACAAATAAATTAATAACACTATTTTTCTGAACTGTTTATAGGTATTAAAACCAATTATTAAGTATGAAAAACTAGACGAAACAAATAATCTTCTTGCTAATAGTCCAACCCAAAATATTGAAAATGTTGATCATGAATTACAAGAAGAAAACCTAATTAGTGATACAGAAATAGAAATGGATTCAAATGAAGAAGAATCAAGATCTAGTACCGATTTTCTTGATGAGATATCATCCCAAATAAAAATTAAATTTTAAATTTCAAAAATACTAATGTTTGGTTATATTTTGTACTCAATTGACTAGGTTAATTTTAATTATATATATATATATATATATATATACTTTAAACAATACACAGTGGCCAAAGAGAAAAATTTTACTTTTGATTTTAAATTTAAAAATTTGTTGATTGAAGCATTATTATATTTTAAATTTAATTTTAACTATATAAATTAATTTTAGTTCCTATTGTTATCTAGTCACACTATAAAAGTCAGTTAATAAATAGAGACATTTTAATTATAATTTATATCTTTAATCTCAACTATGCACAGGGGCCAAAGAGAGGCATTTAATTTCTGTTTTTTATTTTTAAAGATTTATTGCAAGTCTGCAAACATTAATAGAAGTATTAATTAATTTCATTTTTATTAGTTACCTAATGATAAATGTTTAACTAAATTTATGAACTATTTTATTTTATTTTATAAATGTAAATGAAGTATAAGTGTATTGTTATGCATTTAAATAAATAAACATAATTTTGTTTCAAAACATGATTTGTTTTTATTTGATGTTTATAAATTATAATGATAATTGATAATAGTTATATAATAATTAATATTAATGTATACAAATATGATATTATATTAGCTCTATAGGCTGTAAATTATAAATTATAATAATACTAAGTACACTAAGGATATAATCAATTTAAAATTTATTTATTATAAATTTATTTTAATTCAAATAGGATTACAATATAAGGTTTTAATTCATAGATAATTATAATAGAGACTCTGGTCATAACTATATCTAATTAGTAATTATAAACTATTAAATAAACATGAATTAAGAAATTGTTATAGGTACCAATTCATGTGTTTTGAAACTTTTTTAAGTATGTTTATAAGAATTTAATGTAATTTGTATAATGTACTAGGTATGTAAGAAATATTTCAATAACATTTCTACTCTAGTTTTAAATTAAAATGTTTTTTTATTATTTTTCATAAAAATGAAATATTTTATGAAACTTTCATGAAATATTTCAAAAAAATAAATTTCATGAAATTTTAAAACCCTAGGTGTACTTATTATAAATTAGAGTATGAGTTTGAGTACAAAACATTAATTGACAGTTGATTCTTATTAAAACTTTTGTCGTCATTGGTACTGTACAATACATGTATATATAAATCAAATTTAGCAAACCAACACTGAACTTAGTTCCACAAATAACAAATTAAAACATTGTTATTTTTTTCTTAACATTTTGTCGTTATATGTGTATTTTGAAATGTAAATTGTACTTGCTATGGTTAATATCAGAAATAGACATATATATTATAATATAACTGAACAAAATTATGTTTATATTATATTAAGTATAATCATAATGAAAATGTTTTAATTTTGAATATTTATTTAAAGTTCTTGTAAACATTTTTTTTAAAAGTCAGAATTATTTCCATAAACTATTATATGAGCAAGAACAGTCGATATTCATAACAAGTATGAAAATATGTTAATAACTAACAATTATTTTATGATAGGGTAGGAAAAAGTTTATATGTATGTTCAAAATATAAACAGTATACATATATAACTGTAGACAATAGTATCTATATAGAATAATATATTCACTATTTGATATCTTCCTCTGGCTCACGCGCAATATGGACAAAAAGCATTTACTCAAAATCATTTTTTTTTTAAATTTAAGAGATCACTTCTAAATTTAAATGACATTTAAATTGTTTTTATACAATATTTAGACAAATTGATATGTCATAAACTCAAAAATATTATGCTATATTGGTTTTGTGATTTTAATCTAAGATTACTCAAAAACATATTAAGAAAATGTTTCTGTATGTACGGGTTTTGTCAATATGTTGCGCGTGGGAAAGAGGAAGAAGACAGATGGTGTGTTGACATCCTAACAAAAAAAAAAAAAAAAAAAAACACTGTATACCAATATTTGTAAATGTATAAATAATTTATTTCCAACAGAAATAAATAAATAATGGCTAAGTATTTGATAATTTTTTTTTAAATTTATAAAAACTGTTTATAACATGGTATCTACCATAAAATAAAATTAAAAAAAATTTGTGTCAATTGTTGAATATTGATTATATGCTGACAGAAGTAAGTGCTGTTATACTACTCATATGTATCATCTTCATCAGAATTGTTTAGTTCAAGTGGAAGGAAGAATGAATTTAAAACAGCCAAATTTTTTGTTTCTAAATCTTCATCAAATCCAGCATTGAATTTATCATCTTTTTTCCAAATTTCAAAAGATTCTTTACTTATAATACTATCTTGATAGAGCTTATGGAACAGTCTTAATACCATTCCTTATGGAAAAACAGTGATATTAATAAGAGATCTAAAAATAAAACAGTTTTTAACTAACCTTCAGGATATTCAAGTGCAGCAGACATAATTTGAATTCCATACAGACATTGCACTTCTCTTGCCAGAATTTCAGGTCCTAGAAGTGGTTCAGAACGAATATAATACGTTAACAATTTCACATGACCATGAACAAAAAAATCCTCATATGAACTATTTGAATCTATAAGTTACAAAATAATATTTAATAATCAAGTAACTATTTTCATATAATCGCAGAAGAAATAACTTACTCAAACATTCAATGATAATAGCTATAGTTAATGCTCGCACAAACTGAGGGCATTTTATTATTTCAACACTGATATTGGTCTAAATTAAAAAAAATAAAGTTATTTTATAAGAATGTTTTTTTATCAACATGTATAACACAAAATACAATGTAAAAATTTAAATTGGTTGGTTAATTATATTACTCACACTTATCCAACTATGCAATTTATCATGTATTAGTTTCCTACCAGTCATCTTCAATTTATCATACATAGCTATAGATAAAAGGAATACTCCAATCCTCTAAAATATAATATATTAAATACAATACAACAAAATATACTTATAAAATGTTTAAAAACTTACATCATTTTCAAAATATTTATTTATTTGGTTATAAGGCATAAATATGTCAAGAGGAACATATTCCGACGCCAGCCACTTATTGTAAATCCATAATATACCACCTAGTTGCTGAAATAACAAAAATAGTAGTATTACAGATCAGACAACCAGAGCATCATAATATTTAAATATATTAATATATTAAATATACCAAAGTCTAATTAAGTTATAACGCAATAAATAATATAAATAACTAACAAATATAAGTTGACCAATATCAAAGATTAAATACCACTATAGACGGGTAATATCAATGCAATAATTTATCGCTTATTAAATACATTTAGATTTAACTCACAAGTGCCGCATTATTGGCATAAAGTGAGAATTATGAATGTACTCGTCTCCTGCCACTATGTGCCACTAATGAATCAAATCTAAATTAAAATAATGAGCAATAAATTGGTGTTGCCTATTAATGTTATTTAATAAGAAAATAAATGTTATACTGCAGAATAGACTAAATGTTCTGTGAATAAAATTTAAAAAATTAAATTGTTCTAATAAATAATGTTCAACAATCTATAGTGTTTTTTAATATATGATAGGTTAGGTTGGCTATAAAGAATAAAATAAAATAGTTTTATTTTTCATTTAAATATCAAATTTTGTTTGTTGGATCTTTCAATATTCATAGGAAATTGTGTATTATATGTGTATATTGATTGTTTTAGAATAATGTAAAACGCTTGTACTGAATGATAAAGGTTTTTCATTAACAATAATCATGCATAATTTTTTTTTTTTTTATATAAAAAGATCTAAATAAGAAAATCTTTTGAATTCATACCAAGAAAATAGAACAATAATTCTTCTGTATATATTTTGATCCATATGTAATTTTTGAATTAATGAAAACAAAAATTTTTTTGAAAAAATAGTGTAATTGGTTAAATGTTCAGTTTTTCTGATAATTTTAGAAAAAAAATCAGTAATAATCACTCACAAAAAAACTAGATAAAATTTTTTAACAGGAACCTAATCCACAAAATTATATTGAATCATTTTTAATACTAAAAAAAAAAAAATATGACAATAAAAAATCACATACCAAAACGTAAACCATTTTGATCCACAAAATCTAAAAGAATAAATTGTTTTAATATCTACTATCACTTACTTCTTTAATGTTCTGTGTTTCCTTGGAACTAAGAATTTTATTTAATACTTCTATGAAAAATTTAGTAGAATTGTCTGGTCGTATTGATGCACAACAATCCTTTAAATTGTTGAAATCAAAGAAAGCATTCTGTGATAGTAATAATGGAGCTATAAAAAACATTTAAATTTAGGATGTTTGTATGTACTTTGATTACTTGCATAGATACAACAAATTACCAATAATTGCAGCAATATAGGAGAAAAATTGAGGGTAATCAATCAGATAATCATTCCAATATTTAAGGACAGCATCGATTCTGTAAATTAAAAAAGTTCATATGAATTAGAGTGTTATATACTATGAACAATTAATTACCCTCGAGTTATGGCTTCCATAGAAAGAATTTTTTTAGATAAAAGTTCTGCAAAAATGTTTCCTGCCACTGTTGTTCGGGTAATTGGAATACTATCTAAAGTTATAAGTGCCATTGATTTCACAAACTCTTCATGCCTTGTGCCGATCACCGAAGTTTCATCTTCCGACAATGAATAAATTATATCCTATATAAGAAAGCAAAATTAAAATGATGTTTATAATTCAAATTTATAGGTACCTTATCATATGATAAATATTTTTATGTCAAATACATACATCAACATTTTGCATTTGCTCATATTCAATAAGCATGTTTTTACATTTCATATTAATTTGATTAGCCATTTCTGAGTCCAATTCTGACACTGGTTCTTCGACAGTTTCTTCGGACTGTGAACTAGAAGAATTTATTGAAAGAGTGGGTTGTGCAAATCGAGGCATCATACTCACTACCTACACCTTACAAAATAAAATAAAGAAAAAAATTAAACAAGTATATTTAAAATACAAGTTAGTTTACTAAATGTCATATCGGACAGCAATGTTTGTCTTCGAAGCATTCTTTGTTGTTATCAAATATTATAGAATTTGTGGCGTCCCACAACAATGTTTAATGTTTATACTGTAACCGCGGTATCGGACGAGCCTACAAATGCCATTTTCTGTGGCAAGTATTACTGTTGCGGAGCCACTGTTGTTCATGCATTAATTCGATATCTACGTGTGTGATAAGTTAACATTAAAATAATTACCGCGTGAATTTAAATATTATAATCATTATTATTAATACTAGTAAATAATAAAATTGAGTATTGTAATTTTTATATCCTAAATTTAAATTATTATACTTATAACAAAAAATGTAAGAATAATTCTAACATGTCTTACGAAAAAAAAAAAAAATAATAATAATAATTTATTAAACTTTATCTAATACGTCCTACAAAAATATAATACAACATAAAATTAATATAATTAATTACTTTTTTTTACAGTTCATTACCCGAACATAATTCATAATAATGAATAATTCAAATTTATCTTGATTGTAATAAAGATCATTGATATTAAACTATTAAAGATACAATTATATACAACGCGGGAGTTCCTATACATGGACAATGTATATAGATAAAGTTTAATAAATTATTATTATTATTTTTATTTTTTTTTTGTAGGACGTGTTAGAATTTTCATTATTACATTTTTTTTTTTTTTTTAAGTATAAGTAGGTATAATAATTTAGATTTAGGATATAAAAATTACAATACTCAATTTTATTATTTACTTATATTAATAATAATGATTATAATATTTAAATTCACGCGGTAATTATTTGAATTATCTTATCACCGACGTAGATATCGAATAAATACATGAACAGTAGCTCCGCAACAGTAATACTTACCACCGGATCTATGGCATTTGTAGGCTCGTCGGTATCGGCGCGTCACACCGTCAACTAATTTTTTTTTATCATTGTATACTGCGCGTCTACCTCCATAACGCTACCTCCGACCGACGGACCTGCTTCTCTTTTCGGACGTATGTCGTCGCCATTCGCCAACACACCAAACTTTTTTTTAGTAATTATAATATTATACTCGAAACGCTCATTGTAACATAATATACCATTATATTACAGTGGAACCTTGATTTTCCGGGGTAATGGTGGGGAGGGGGTCACACTTATAAATGAGAACCACGGTTAATCGAGACTTTTTATAATAATGACATTTTTTATTTAATTAGGTATAATTAGAAATACATATATATTTTATTCGTTAGTCGAGCTAGTGTATATTACGTCGTTCGTCGCATCGCGGTCTTTTCGACCACGTTATAATTTTTAAGAATATAATTGTGATATCTCGGTGATACGAGTCCTTTTCGAAATTGTTTGATTAATTAATATTATGAAATTTTTATTTTTATTATTGACTGCTGCTGTTATTATCGTGATTATAAAGTAAGCCAAATCAATATTACCACTAGGAATGGCAAAAAATGACAAAATATCGATATATCGAAAAAACAAAATTAAAATAATTAATTAAAAAAAATAATAAAATTAAGGCAAATCGTCCCTGTCAATGAAGTGGGTTGAATTTAATTCAATTTGTGATTGATGTAGCAACGCATATGGGCCACGAATCGTGACAAACCTAGGACTTTGGAGAGATTTAAAACTATAGTTAACCAATAATATAGGTACCATTTTTTATTTGTAAGATTTATGAAAATAAATATTTTGATGAGCATTTCCAAGCATATAATGTGCAATTAACTGAAAAATTATTATGTTGTTCAGTTGAACAATTAGACTGTGTACGTCCCACAGTTCATTGTGTCCTCTCAAATAGTTTGTCTTATATACCTTTATAAACACATGTAAAAAATTTCATGTACCTACCTACTTATAATATGTAAAAAAAAAAACGTGTCTTTATTAATAAATATCTTATTATTCTTTATGAAGCACTTTTTTTTTTAAAATGTATATTGCTGATATTTACAGGTCCTTGTACTTTATTTTTCCTACTTACTTGGTCACCCCTAAAAATATTAGTAGTTGAAAATATTAGACTATAATATCTAATAGAGTTAGAAAAAAGCTACTATATTTTTTTAGATATTCCAAAAACAAATGATTTGTAAATGTGACTAAAATTATAGTAAAGACTATAAAACGTTTAGTTCTATTTACTATAATAATTTAAAAAAAAAACAATAGTTGATTTAACTAAATATTTAGTTAGATATATAATTGTCAACTATATAACTTAGCTGTTTCAGAAAATTGACTTGGTAAACTTGACTGATGCTATAGTAAGACTAGCATTTTTTTTTGGTTGTATTAACTATATATTTACAATATAATAATAGTTGATTTAACTAAATATTATTGTTAGAAAAATTAGCAACTATAAAAAAATAAAAAAATATACATATTAACTATAAATCTTGAAACTATAATCGTTTGGTACTTGCAACTAAATGTAGGGCTATGCCAAACGGAACTACATTTTACAGCTATTACACATATAATTTTAGTTAAACCAACCAATTATTTTTTTCCGTGATATATTGTGGCGATGGAAATCACAACAATCAGGCACGGATGGCGTTGCAGGTAACTGCAATCGTGGACGACAATTTCGGTGATTGTTTGATCACTATTATAGTCCTCGTACAAATTTCGAATTCACGTGTCACGTGAAATACGTGTTTATTCAAAATATATATCCGTGTCACTGATACACGGGTGAAAAAAAACACTCGTTCCATTGAGACCTCTAATATCTACAGTCCATGCTTATTTTTAAATTTTCGGAAGAGTGAGCACGGTTAATCACGAATACGGATAATCGAGTCACGGATAATCGAGGTTCTACAGTATTTAATATTTGTGTATTGCTAATTGAATTATTTTAAACTCTGTTTCATAAAATATTAATACAATTATATTAATATACCTATAGCCAATTCGCCACTTTTTTTCAGACAGAAAAATTATTTATTTTATTCAAAATTATTTTTCCCCTTAATATTGTTGTTGTTCAATCAATAAAAATATTTTGTGAACTCAAAAAATTATTGTTTCTTTTTTTTCTTATTGTCGAGTGTATAAATAAAAAATACGACTAAAACTTAAAATATAATATATAATAAACATCAACCACGTTACTAGATTATACAGCGAGTATACCTAATAATGACCATAGACCTGCAGTACAAACGCTGCAGGGAGATTATATTATTATGTTCCAAGATAATATATTTATACCATCAAATTAAAGTGACGAAAACTGCTGAATAAATCATAGAATAATGCACAACACCCCTCATATGCAGATTCGGCATGGATAGTTATAATATTATAAACTATACAAGAATTGTAAATAATAATTCGTAATAATTTTGAGTAACACACTAACAAGTATATAACATAATAATAATATGAATACAGTGTCTACGTAATGTGTCAATAATAATAATATGAATAGTATGATTGTGTAAGCTCTACTATTAACAACAAATTAATTATAGGTAAGGATACCGTCAGTAAGAATTCATTTAGAACATTTAATATGTCACGTGTTCATAAGACAGAAAAACAAATGGGACACATACACATTCTTAAGAGGACGCTACACGGATATTTGTTGTCTCCGTCTCACAATTGCATAACATAACAATTAATATAAGCTCGGTTAGTTTAAAAATTAGGGTGAATCAACCAATTATAAAACTTGATGGTAATAATATTATCTGTGTTTCTATGTGGATATTTTTTACGATAATTCAGTTTTTAAGTCAGTTATGAGCATTTTTAATTTACGCTAGGTATATTACATTTATAAGCATAACTTCATAAAAAATGTAACCATCATAAAAAAATATATTAAAAACACAGATAATGAACTTACCATCAAGTTTCATAAGAGGTAAATTCATTTTAATTTTTAAACTAACGAAGGTAAACGTGTTCTATTGAGAGTAATTTTGAAATTTTACTCAAATTTATTGTAAGACGAATATAACAAATGGCCGTGTAGCGTTCTTTTAATCCATAATTTGTTTATATTTTTCATCTTTCATAAATAGGTACGACAATGTATACTTTTCATATACCTACCTAATTAGCTATCTATAAAATAAAAATATTTATCTTCTAAACTTATTAAAAGGCTTCATTAATATTTAATTATGAGAACAATAAACTATGTAGGTACATAAAGAGGTATAATATTTACGAGTTTTTCACTTAAAGTATTAATACCTGTGCAATGAAAGTATGATTATGATTAAGATTAATCTACTTCTCTATAATATCTCATATCTTATAATAATTTTTATACATAAACGTATTACGAAATATTATAATTAATTTAAATGATTAGGTACCTATATGTAGTCGTATTCGTGGATATGGGGTTAAGTTCGATGCTCGAAGTCACTGAGGTATATATACATATGTATATGTATTACATGTCTTGATTTGTATATTTAATACTTAGTATATTGAGAGATATATTTTGGTTACCTAGTTCTATGTATAATATTGATGTGATTCGAACACTAATATTATATGAATTTGTTATCTATGATTTGGGACGTGACCATCATCGTATGCTCTTAGAAATTCCTACATCCGCAGCAAGCGTACATAGTCGACTGGCTAACCGAATGTAATTTAAGTTAAATGAGCACTTAAATTCTAAATAAATAAATGTGATTATGATCTAAGTTCCGCTCTTAAAAATTCCTACTTCAGAAAAACGATTCTGAGCGAAGACGGTTTATCAGACTAGGTATAACCCATATTATATACATATCTATGGTATTAAAAAAAAATTGAAATATAATAGGTAGGTACTTATAAAAAATTCAAAATTCATCATATCACAATATCCATTATTTACTTATAACGCGATATACAT